CCAGGAAAACCAAGCCTGCACAGGGTATGGCTAGACCATGACCTCCCTTCTTCTGAGACTTCTACCTTTATTAATACACCTAACATCACACTAGTGTTTGTTTGCTTGTTTGTTTCTTCTTCTTCTTTCAATAATTCCATCCTTGCTAGATCTTACTATGGTCCACAAAGACCTCACCGTACAATTGGTATTCTTATGCCATATCTTCCACATTCCATATCTGTGCAGTTGGCATTTTTAGCCCAATGGAGGACTTGACAAATATTTTAGTTAATTTGACTCCCTGTAGGCAAAGTCTCTCAGTAAGGGATGAAGACGAGACTCAAGCTTATCAAAAGAAGAGCTCCCCCACCACCACCCACCAGGCCAAAACAAAATAATAGGAGAGAAATGTGTTGGGTCAACAATTCCCGACTTACTATTAAGGAAGCTCAGTTGGGCAATGTCCAGCCGAGAAAATAAGATACTGGACGGGTCAGGTCCAGGGGCCAGGTGCAGCCCCCAGGCTGGGGCAGGTAGAGGAGAGCAGCCTGGGGCAGAGGCTGCAGGAGGAGGCGTGGGGCGCGGGCCGAGCTGCAGGCCTGAGAGTTCCTCCCTCCGCCTCCCCCACTCCTCTTCACTGAAGCCTCAGCTTGGCACACACCAAGACGTCCTGTCCCCATCTGTCCATGCTCTGTGACCAAGGGCAGGTCACTCCCCACCCTGGGCCTGAGAAAGGTCAGATTCTATTGCTTCTTCACAGGGAGCCATGGCAGAGGTGAACAGCTGTTCCCGAGCAAGAGCCTGGTGCCCCAGAGAGTGGAACGGTCGTCAGCCTGTACACCAGTCTGCGTCTGGGTCTACACGCACGTGTGTGCACTGCGTCTATGTGTGCACTGCGTCTATGTGCGCACATGTGTTTCTGGTGCCATGTTTTGGAGTAGCTGCTAAACAAACTGTGTAACCCTAGGAAAGTTGATTTCCCTCTCTGAGCCTCAGTTAAGGCTAATCTCAGTGCTCACCTCATGGGGATCATGAGGATTAAATTAGTCCATATCAGAGAGGAGTCTGGCACAAGGTAGGGGCTCACTACACGGTGGGTGTTCTCCTTACTGTAGTGAAGGGGTTGACCTGGTACCAATTGTTGGCACGAAGGGGCAGGAGGAGAGTGAGCAGGAAGGAGCTTCAGAAACCCTCCAGCCTGGCAGCGGCCCTCCAGCATGGAGCCTCTCCACTGTGTGTCTGTGCACATGTGTGAGTGTCTGCACGTGGGTCTGCATGTGCACGTGTGCATTGTGTTTTACCTGTGCATGTCTGTTTCTATGTGTATCTGCATGTGCATGTGCGTGTCTCCGTGTGGCTGTGTCTGCATCCGTGTGTCCACGTGCGCATGTTCGGTCCACTCGTACCTCTATTTCTCATCCATACGTGCGTCTGTGTGTGCACCTGTGTAACTGTCGTCCTGCGTGTCTATGATTGTGCACATGTGTTGTGTGTATGTGTCTGAGTCTGTGTGTATCTCTGTATATATGTGTGTGGATCTGTGTGTCTGTGATGTTGGTACATCTCTACGCCTGGGTGTAGCTGTATGTTTGTGTCTTTGGGTGTCTCTGTGTGTGTGTCTGTGTGATGTGCACATCTGTTGGTGTGTGTGACTGTGTGTACACACACTCAGTGGTGGGGAGTGGCCCTGGTGGTGGCTGGGCTGGGCCAAGCACCCCAGTGAGCGAGCTCCAGCCTTTCTGTTTGCTTTCCTCCTTTTCTTTCCGGTTCCCCTTTAACCCATTGCAGCTTCCAGGGAGCAGGAGGGAGCAGCCGCCAGGGAGCTCCCGGCCCTTCCGCCCTCTCCGCAAGGTCTTCTCACCTCCCTTCTCTGGTCCCTGCCCACACAGGCCCCCTCCCTTGCTGAGACTCAGTTTCCTCCTTCTCTTCATACCCTTCAGGTCAGCCCTGTCCCCTCTGCCCGCTCTCAGTGACAGTGAGGAGCTCCCTGTGACCACCTGCCACCGCAGGAGGCTCGAGGCAGAACATTGCAGGAGGCATTCCTTACGGCAAGATTCAAGACCCCAAAAAGGCCCCACTGGGGGTCCCAGAGTCTCTGGGCGCCTGGCCTCACTGCTGACAAGGGCTGAGCCGACAGGGGACTATGCAGGGGATCGGTTTGAGGAGCCAACTCCTCCAGGTCCCCGTTCAGCTAGTGTTTGCGGAGCACCTAACGGTGTGCCCAGAGCTTTCGGTGGGCTCATTATTTCGCCTCCTTAGCCGCTGTGGGGTGGGTGCAGCCCCTGCTCAGCTGTCCAGATGAGGAAACCAAGACTCGGGCGCTCAGTAACCTGCTGGAAGTCGCCAGCCAGCAGGGGCAGGGCTGGGACTGGACCGGCCTGGGAAGGAGCTGGCACTCTTCCCTCATCCTGCCCAGGGCTGGCGGCTCCCTGTGCCTCTGTGGGTGATGCTCACCTCCCTCCTGAAGCTGGCGGAGCTAATGGTGGGACTGATGATACCTCGGGCTTCTGCTCACCCGGGGCCAGCCACAGCGTGTGCCAGGGCTTCTCTACTGTGCCCTCGTGACCCTTCCTGACGACCCATTTCACAGGTCGGGAAAGGAGAGCTTGGGGACATGCAGAGCCTGGCAAGCCCCACAGCTGTGCCCGAGTGCAGAGCCCGTTCACTGGACTCCGCTCTGCTTTTTTATTTCTTCCTCACATGACAGCAAACTTCCGTCTTCCTTTGCCTGAGGTTGAAACTGTCACCAGTAGGAGCAGTGGGACTTTATAGGGACACTCCCTTGTCAACCAGTCCACACGGCCTCTACCAAACCCAGGAAAGCAGAATCAAGATGAAATCTAAGGAAGTGGGCGTCCAGTGTCACTGTGGGTGGGTCACCCTGGGGGACTCCGACCACTGCTCCCTCTGTACCCCTTGCGCAGCAGCCCGCTGCGGCCGACTCCCTTACTTCATGGTAGCGTGAACGGCTCCATCTTCTACATAGTGTTTCCTTGGGGAGGAGCTGCCATGTTCCCACTCCCTGGCCAGGCAGACCTCTATAATGATGACCAAGCCGCCCAGGGCAGCATCAAGCCCATCTCCGTTTGCCCTTGGCCTTGGGTGTAGCTGTTGGTGGTTCAGCAGGACTCACAAGGACACCGAAGGCCAGTTCGATTGTTAAGTTCCATAGGCAGGGACTGTGCCCCTGACCCTGGCCAGCTGCTTCCTCAAGGTTTAAAATAGCTGGCACGGGCCCCCCGGGAACATAGGCCTAAGGAGTGTGGGCAATTTCCATGCTTCAGGGAGCCCAACCCCCAAACACAGGTTTTTTTTTCCAACCAGAGAAAGTACCCATCTGGAGGAACAAGAATCCCCAGGGCAGAGCTAGAGAATCACTTCAGCCTGATCAAGGACAATGACGCCTGAGGTCAGAGAAAAGAAGGGCCAGAGAGGGTAAGGAGCTTGCCCAAGATCACACAGCATGTTCGCAGCAAAGTTAAAATGAACCTATCCCTGATCCCTGGTCTCGTTACTTGGAACCTGCTACCTCCCAAAAAGGGGTCATGAATTCACCCCCGGCCAAGAGTGCTATTCATGTCTTTGAACTTTCACATCCCTGCCTGTTACAGGATGAGACAAGAAAGAACAGTTCTACAAGTTGCCCCTTCAGCCCCAGAGCAGAACAGGGCTCCTCTAAGGAGCTGGTAATGAAACATCACCAGGGAAGATCCACACGCAAGCAACCATCAAGAAATAATAACAGCCACCACGAACGGCGCAGGAGGGAGAGGGCTGTGTCCTCAAGGGTGGCAGCTCCGACAAGTTCAGCCTGGAGAAGTGACTTTTCCCTCTGCCAAGGGTGGGGGGGGGCGTCCAATAGCCCCTGACCCCTCCAGTGAACCCCACCTGGGCCAGTCCTGGATGGGCAGATAGATTGCAGCCAGGTGGCCTCCCAGCTACCCACCACCCCTACAATTCAAACCACGGCTGAGGCTGGACAAAGCACTTGAAAATTTTACTCAGAGGACACTCTCTTTCCCAAGCTCCTGCCTTTAACCTTGTACATCTGACCCCCCAGCTCTGCTCGGACCACCCCTGCCCCTTCCCACACAGCATATGCCACACACTCCCAAGGTGGTAACTGGGCTCTCTACTCTGTAATCACAGAATTACTGGGCTGCTAATTTGTGGGGGCCAAGAGACAGTCTACACAGCAGATCATACCCCCTGGCCCTAGACAGCCAGAACCAACACTTTTCTTGCAGGGAGGAGAGGGTATTGGGGATTGAACCCGGGGGTACTCTACCACGGAGCTGTATCTCCAGCCCTTTTGATTTTTTTGGACATGATCTTGCTAAGTTACCCAGGCTGGTCTTGAACTTGTGATCCTCCTGACTCAGCCTCCCTAGTGACTGGGATTACAAATGTGCACCAACACACCCAGCAGCCACACCCTTAAAAAACATTTGAAATGGCGAAAGCATGAAGAGAGCCCAAGGCCACAATGGACAGGACCCAGAGGACTTTCTACTGGTCCCTAGGCTTCATTCGTCTGAGCAATTTAAATCTACTCACTGGTTGGACTTTATGCTACTTCTATATTTGCCCTCAATGTGGGTAAAGTAGCACACATTCCTTGTTAAAATGAAAACTCACAGTCCACAGGGCGCCGCAGACGAGCTGCCAGAGGTGTGCCGACCGGGCTTCGGAAACACCACCCTGGCCCAACCCTGCCAACAGCGAGGGGAAAGGGGGCCGGGATGGGAAGGGACCTGTCCAACATCCACAGCAAGTCACTGGCAAGGCCACCAACAGAACCAGCTCCCAGCAAGGCTCATTCTTTAGGGAGTGATTCTCCAGGGTCACCTGGGCCCCTCAGGAATGAGCCCATTTGCCAGGGAACCTGAGCACAGGCCCCCCAACTTTCCCCGACTCCCAGGAATCCCTCAGGATGGGTCTGGACACCCCCACTCCCCACCACGGTCTCCCTGACAGCGGTGGGCAAGTTGTCCCTTGCTCGGGCTTGGTTTCCTCACCTTCCAGGGCTACAGTGACGACGCCAGACTCCTGGAAGGCAGAGGACTACGCTGCAAACCAGGAAAGCAGATGTGGAAGGTGGGATCGTCCTCACCCCCTCGCTCTGCTTCTCGGCAGCGTCTCCCCCTGGGAGGTGGGCAGAGCCCGTGCAGGTGCGAGGAGACGGACTGGGCTGGAAGGAAGGGGACAGAGGGGATCGTGGGTGGGAGGCAGCCCACACCAGGGTCCCACCCACTCAGCTGGACTGTCGCCTCCCCCAGGCAGCCAGCAGACTCCCAAGTTCTAGGTGACAGGTAGGAGTCTGCCCAGCACTTGTGCCACAGGAGGCCAAGAGGGAGGCCACACACTGGCCCAGTGAGTGGGGACACTCCTCCGACCTGCAAATGGGCTCATGTACGTAGACATGTGCATGTGTACACACACATGCACACACACATGCACACATGCACACACGACAGACATCCCCGACACTCCTGGACACACTCTCGTGGTACAAAGGCAACGACCCCAAGCCGCCGGCACAGCCCCTCACCCACTCCGGGGCACACATGGGGCCATCCTGCCTCTCGCTCCCCCCAGTCCCCAGCCCCAGGCCTGGCGGCGTCCTTGTCCCGCTGCCTGGGAGACACATGTGGTTTCAGTTAGCGGCAGAGCGGGCATTTCCGTCCCAGACAGCGGAGCCCTGCCAGGGCCCCAGCCCCACTGGAGCCCTCGAGAAGGGCCACCTCAGCCTTCACTCCCCACTGGCCATCCCAGGGACCCTCAGCCCCTCTCCCCTGGAAGACTGTGCCATCCCTTCCTGCAGTCACCCCTCACCTGGAGCCAGACTCCGCACCCACTCAATGGGGACCGGCTGTGCCCAGCCTGCGTCCACGGCTGCCCCGCTGCTGCCCGCCAGCCTCCTCACTCCCGCTCTGTCTCCAGCAGGCTGAAGGGATGGGAGGAGGGCAGGGTGTCAGGGGGCGGGCGGGAGGGAGGGGAGGGGGCGTGTGGAAATGAAACTTTAATAACAGAGCCCCTTTTGTTTCCGAGCATATGGGATATTTCATACATACTGAAGACATTAGCCGTCTATATTTTTAAGGGCTCAGGCTAAAGGATGAATAAATACAGCCCATATTCTGCTCAGCAAACACACATGCAGGGCACTGACTTCTGGAGCATTTCAAACCCAAAGAAAAAGCCTCCAGTGACACGGGACACTTAAAAATAAATATGCTTCCAAACCTTGGGCTCGGCTTGCCCCCGCTCGGAGCCACCTGGAAGCCCTGGGGCTCCGTTTCCCCCACAGCACTCCCCCGCCAAGCTCCTACACCTTCTGCTCCATGTGGGAAAGAAGTCCCTGGATTCAGCCCCCTCTCCCAATTTCTTTTTCCAGGACCCCAGACCCCCATCCCATCCCAGAGCGTCAAAGTTCCAAGAGAGCCTGGAAATCTCTGTGTTCCTCATTACAGAAACCGGGGGGCCAAGGCGCAGAAAGGGGCAGGGACTTGCCTGAGGTCACACAGCCAACAAATCAGGATCTTGGGCCAAGGGGCAGTGCTTCTTCTTTCGACAGGAGGCATCCCCCACTTCCTCACCTCGGGGGTAAAGGTGGGGAGACCCCAGGGCCTTGGAAGGAAGACCAGCGTGTGGGCTGGGAGCGTGCCCGCCTGCCTTTCCCACTGGTGTACTGCTCTGGGCACCCCCCAACTCCGGGCACCCATCCAAAGACGACGTCAGCAGGGCTGGGAACTGGGCCGGCCCCAGGAAATCCCCTTCAGGCCTGCAGATCCCAACAGGCCGAGAGGCCTCAGGTGCAAGAGCCTCCTTCCCTGACAGCTCCACTCCTGGTCCTCTGGTGCCCTCCATCTGTCCTCCGGGAAGGAAAACAGACGCCCAGAGGAGAATGGACCTTCAAAGTCACGCAGCAAGACGACAGCAGGCAGAAAACTGAACCCGGATCTTCAGACCTATGCCTGGGGCCTGGCTTTCTTGCTAAGCAGATCTCCAATTCTCTCCAGCTGGGACCGCTTCCGCCTGGTCTGCACAGAGTCCCCCCACCATGTCTAGCCATCCTCCAGAGGTGGCCCTAGCTCCCTCCTCCTGTTCACGTGCATTCAGTCTCATTTTACTGTCCAGTGTGCACTTCCTAAGCGGGTAGTGCCGCACTTAGAAAGTGTTCATTAAAAACACAAACCCTAGAGGATGCCCATAGGGACTGAGTTTTTGCTGTGCCTAAGTCTGTGCCCGGCATTGAGGCTGCGAGTTACCTTGAGATGAGCCCGCAGCTCCCCACGCTCACAGTGTGGATGTCACCTCCATCTTCAAGGGTGGCTGCTCAGGGATCCTCCACTCACACTTTGCCGTGGGCACCGCAGTCACTCCCATCAGGGGCAACTGAGGCTCAGAGCGCTGCAGAGCTCCTCAGGCCACAGTGGTGGTGAGCGACAGGCTGGGCCGCCAGCCAGGTCCCGAGTCTGGAGCCCGTGCACATGACCTTCTTGTGGCTCACTTATTGTTTGTCCCCAGCCTTGGGCCTAGAACTGCACAGCACCTCTCTGAGCCTCTCTACGAGTCATAGCCCTGCCAGGCAGAGCGCCCCCAAGCCCTTCATGGAAAGGGGCCACTGGCACAGGAGCTGGACACCTGGCTTTTGGGCCTCTTGGGCAGCCATCGAGCTGTGAGTGGTCCCTTCTCTGAGGACGTGGTTTTTCTCATGGATGAAGCAGAGAGAACCCATTTCGCCAGCAACAATCACATGACACAAGGATGGGTGAAGGGCTTGGCCCGGTACGTGGTGATTTCCCTGTCTGGGATCTCGTGATAGATGGATCCTGGCACTAATTCTGTCTGGGTTCCAACAGGCCCCGGCGGGCCTCCTTGCCCATGGGTGGCCCTGCACCAGCCCCCAGAGCCAGCTTCCTGAAGAAGCCTTTCCATCTTGACACCCCAACAGTGAACCGACAGCAGCTCTGGTTGCCCCAGGACAACTCATGGGCCCAGGGGAGCCTTCAAGACCCCTGTGAACTTGGACCCTCTCTTCCCCACCCAGACCCTCTACCCACATCAGCCTGGCCCTCAGGCCTCCAGGACACCCTGCACTGTCACCTGCCCATCCCTCCCACCTCCATCACCAACTCACTGTTGAGGAAAGTCCACGCCCTTTGCCGCTTGGATGTGGAATCTGTTAGTAAACACAGAGGTCTTTCTAGATCAGGGCTTCTCTAAATTCTGGGCTGGGTCCTGCGTCAGGAGGTTTTCCAGGACAAGAGACTATAGTCTCGATGTGAGGTTTTCATAAAGTAATAACACTGCTGTTGGTGGAGGGCTGGTTCTGCTGGCACCCTGCTCAGTCCTCCCGTTCCTGACCACCGTGGAAGTAGGAGGGAGGCTACGCGGCCGGCCTGAAGCCCCCCAGCCTGCACCACGGAGCTGGGATGCAAGTGTCACACCAACC